CCAATAAGAATGTTTATTATAACTATAATTACAGTTCCTGTATCTAGTGTAGAAATCACCAATAACAATGTTTATTATAACTATAATTACAATTCCGGTATCTAGTGTAGTAATCACCAATAACAATGTTTATTATTACTATAATTACAGTTCCTGTATTCAGTGTAGAAATCACCAATAATAATATTTATTATTACTGTAATTACAGTTCCTGTATCTAGTGTAGAAATCACCAATAACAATGTTTATTATTACTGTAATTACAGTTCCTGTATCTAGTGTAGAAATCACCAATAACAATGTTTATTATTACTGTAATTACAGTTCCTGTATCTAGTGTAGAAATCACCAATAATAATGTTTATTATTACTATAATTACAGTTCCTGTATCTAGTGTAGAAATCACCAATAATAATGTTTATTATTACTATAATTACAGTTCCTGTATCTAGTGTAGAAATCACCAATAACAATATTTATTATTACTATAATTACAGTTCCTGTATCCAGTGTAGAAATCACCAATAACAATATTTATTATTACTGTAATTACAGTTCCTGTATCTAGTGTAGAAATCCCCAATAACAATGTTTATTATTACTGTAATTACAGTTCCTGTATCTAGTGTAGAAATCACCAATAACAATGTTTATTATTACTGTAATTACAGTTCCTGTATCTAGTGTAGAAATCACCAATAATAATGTTTATTATTACTATAATTACAGTTCCTGTATCTAGTGTAGAAATCACCAATAAAAATGAAGATCTTATTAAAGATAGAACTGTCAATTTAGAATGTAAAACAACTGGAGGATATCCTCTACCAAATATCACGTGGTCTATTGATACTAGAATATTGATGACGTCAGTTAATACAACTACCAGTAATTTATCATATCAACCTGTTGTATCAGATCAGGGTCAAAGGTTACAATGTTCAGCTACCAATGGTTATGGTCAATCTCAAACAGATTCATTTCAACTTGATATTAAGTGTAGGTATTAACTATATATTTTGAATTATTTTTTTCAAGTGAAATTGAAATTAGCATCTTCAAGATGTTTACGCATTCATTAACATAAATTAAGATTGATGTTTTAGACATATCTTCTGGATAGCATACATTATGACATAAACCTAACATATTTTATGTTATAGTTGTGGCGTTGTTAATGATTATCAGGACCACAAAACCAAAAACATTAGAACAGCGTTCACACAGAGTTTATTAAAACCAAAATATCATAAAACCATAAATATGTGGACAATGCTGAATCTAACAAGATATGATAGGATATTTGACGATTAACTGAAAAGATACAAAATACCAATAATAAAAAGTAACTATTCATATATAATTTGGGCAAGAGAGAGACTCTTTAAATATTACAGAATGTAAACAGCTATTGGAGGAATTGTACTTTCACTTTCCATATAAGGCAATCCACAGTGCGCTAATCATGCGTGACGACTCATTGACGATAGAAAGATTTCGGACCTAAACTTTACAAATAAATTACAGGACAAATACAAAATGTTCTACGATATACATTAAATAAGATAACATAAAAACATACCAAATTGTCAACCACTAATCTCCACAAATGACAGAAATAAGTTAGAACGATAAAGCCATGCTCTTTGATAAGGAAGCTATTACGACACGTTGGCCAGTTCGTGTTGCTATCGGTTAGGGGTCGGTTCGTTTATACAAACCTGTGTTCTACAATAGTTAATTAGCATTAGATAGTGAAGTAGATTTTATTGTATATGCTTTAAATATTATTTTTACTATAATAACTTTTTTGTAAAATTGTAACAATTTTATGTAAAAGAAGACGAATAAAAGACGAACTGTGTGTTTTTTTATTATTATTTTAGATAAGAACTTTTTGTGGTTATTTTCAGATAAACCAATTGTTGACATAAAACCATCTACAACACCATATAAACTGATACAAAATCAGACAGTTGAATTAGAATGTCAAGTTAACCAATCTAATCCAGTGGTTACAAGTTATAAATGGTATGGAAATGGTAATATAATAACAGGATCTAGTTCAACATATACAGTATCTAATGATGGTAGTTATTCCTGTTCAGCTACTAATTCTGTTGGTGAATCTGATAGAAGTCGTGTTATATCTGTAGAGATTTTATATCCACCGACTGTATCTACTCTACAATCACCATATTCTATTATAGAATCTACACCCCTCACTATACCCTGTATAGCTACATCTAATCCTGTACCTAATAATTATACTTGGTCTGGACCGAATAACTTGCTACAATCTCAACATAATTTAACTATATCTAGTATCAATAGAGATCAAACAGGACAATATACATGTACAGTTAGTAATATCATGATATCAACTACTGGTGTACAACAAACTGGTACAGGAATAAGTTCAACTACTGTAAATGTTTTATGTAAGTATTTGATATTCAAAACCTCTGAAGATGTCAAGTCATGACACTAGTGCTGTAAATATAAAAATCGACAACAAGAACGTATCTAGTGCGTTTGGTAATTGGAAAGACAAACATTTTTTCACTTTCACATTTTCTTGATTTATACTAGTAATGGACAGCAATTCGAAGATAACGTCTTTTGTTTTAAAATAAAAATTCAACATTACTATATAGATGATTTAACTATTGTTGACACAAATATCAAACAAACGAGAATCAGAGAAAGTACCCCTCTTTGCATTATCAACTTATTTTATATTTCTTCATCAAATAACATAATTATCGTCCTTAAGATACATATTATTTTTTACTATTTTAGATGGTCCTGAAATAAGTGTATCTAGTGTACAAACTAATATCAAAGAAAATAAGAATCTTAGAATAAATTGTACAGTAAAATCCAATCCACCAACCAATGATATAGTATGGTATCAATCTAATGGTAATATTGTACCAAATCAATTTGTGGTTAATTCTGGAGCTAATAGAAGAGATTTAGTTATTAATGATATCAATCGTAGCAAATCAGATAATTATACTTGTACAGCAAGATTAGATCTACATCCTACAGTTGGTGAAATTTTACAACAAACTCACTATCAATCTTCTATCATTAATGTACAGTGTAAGTGGATTTGTATTAACATTCTATGACAGACCCTACAATGTTTCACTTATTTACTAGAAGTACGAATGGAAAGGGGTTATGACTTTGTTAGGATGAAGTTGGAATTTAACATTCATGCACTTTACAAGAAAGGAGATTTGCGTTGTCTTATTCCAGTGTTAGTTTCATTTCTCATGAGAATGTATTAAACCATTGTTCATTATAGATTTTTACGCTATAGAAATAACCACCAACCAAACTAAACTAAAAGAGAATGATGCTGTATTTATTAGATGTACAGTTGATAGTAACCCACCAGCTTCTATCAAATGGTTTAAAGATGGTGATGTAGAACTACCAACAACAAATTCTAATCTCTACTTTATATCATCAACATCCTGTTTAGATACTGGCAATTATTCCTGTTTAGCTACAAATACTGTTTATATAAATCAGAAAACAAAATCATCAGAATTATTAGTTCATTGTATGTATATAATGTATTTACTGTTTGTATATTATATAGGTCCATTGTGTTTAGTAATATTTACTGTATATTTATATAGGTTCACGATGTAAAGTAATAGTCACTCTTTGTATATTTATATGGGGTTCACCATGGTAAGTAATATTTACTGTTTGTATATAAATATAGGTTCACCACGATTAGATACAAGAGAGGATCACAGACTAAAAGTATCTGGTGATATTGGAGAAACAGTTGAATTAACAGCAGATATTATTTCCTATCCTGGTGCTAATTTTCAATGGTTTTATAAAGATAATGGTAGTGATATACTGATTGGTAATCAAGAACCATATTTGGTCATCAACAATCAAAGATTTATTAACAGTTATAGATCTGTGTTAAGAATAAATATTACTTCAATTGAGATGTACAGACAGTATTATTTAAATATTACCAATGATGATAGACTGAGTAATAGTTTACAGTTTCAACTTATATCTGAGAGTAAGTTTAGTACTTGAATAACAATTATCATGTTTGAAAACTTATGTTATGAGTAAGTTCGGTATCTAATGTGTAACATTTTCATTGATGTATTCGTATATAATAATCTGAGTCTGAAACATTTGTTCATGGATCTTTAGAAAATCTTCTTTTTCAATCATCTTTAAAAAAGTAAATTAAAGGGATACTACATCTTAGAATACACTCGTCCTGTGGCTAATATTTGTGTTTAATAGTAACCATTGGTTAAATAAGTATGCATCCCACACTTTATCAAGTTTGAAAAAGCGACAATAAAACTATGATCAGAATTAAAAAAAAAGTGAGCAAGCCATGAATCAGTTCAGTTTGAGAAAAAAAAAAGAGTCTGGGTAATCAACGCTAAAACAGGAAACAATCATCTTCCGATGTATACAAACAAACTTTGCCAATGATTAATATTCGTTGAAAATTGTGTCAGTGGTGGAGTATCCATTCTAAATTATATGAATCGCTTAATCTCCTACGAGGCATTATTATTCCGTCTTCAAAATATATGTGACAATGTCGAGGTCAATTCAAGAGTAGAGGACAAGGACGCGGGAAACCCTACTTGAGAGTTACTTCCCCTTGTGATTACACCGGATTTCCTAGACTCACGATTTGAAAATCGCTTAATGGATGTATTAAGCGTTTTATAATTAAATACTTGATTTTGTGGATATATCGGATTATAGAGGGATTTTGATGTATAGTTAGGACACCAGGTAAGTCCACTGATGGATATATACTGTTATTCGCCAAATTATGTTCATCCTAAGATGTAGTATCCCTTTAAAGTATGAGAAAATGTGAACCTCATTATTTACTATTTTTTTTTAGCTGTCCCAGATAGTCCACAAGATGTAAGATTATTGAATGAAACATTAGATACAATTTGTGTTGAATGGAGACCAGGATTTAATGGTGCAGCATCACAAAGTTTTATAGTTCAACATTCTACTGATGATAAAACATGGGTCAATTCGTCCACAATACCAGATGGTACCAATAATGGTCGAGTTGACTATTGTATAGAAGGATTGGAACCAGATACTAGTTATTATATCAGAGTGATAGCTAGTAATAAATATGGTGAAAGTAAAATTGGAAGATTATCTCAGAGTGAACTTCCTAAGACAGCACCGAGACGAGGTA